TGCAGGGGAAAGGGGCAGGTGCTAACCCTGCCTTATTGTGTTGGTGTTGGTCTTGGCCTCTGAAAGGGGGCTGAGGCAGTGAGAAAATGACTCCACGCCTGCGATGCTGGAGCTGGGTGCAGTCCAGCGCAGGACTGGATCCAGTAGCAGGATCCAGTTGTAAAAGTGCTGGGTGGAGGTGTAGACTCCGGGCTGGTTTGGTCTCGCACAGCCTTTCCCCCAGCTGGTCACTCCAGTGAGCCAGTAGTAGTCGTAGGTGGCGTCTCCAGATGAGAGTACCACCACTGTCACCCTGCAGCAGAGGAGAGGGGATTAAGGTGCTGTTGGTGGCCACCGTCAGCACTAGGGTTGGCCGTCTTCTCTCCCCCAGCACCTGCCAGTGCTGTCTTCAGTGTCCAGAAAGGCGCTGCGCAGGTGCCAGGGCCTAGAGAATCTTCTCTGGGAGGGCGTTGCGGGCCTGTAAGGTAGGGCTCTTTCTCCTCTCTGCCCTGTGATCCGGGATGTGGCAGAGGGATGGGAATCTGGAGCTGTGGACTGCCAAGAGCAGTGGCTGGGCTTTCTGGGCAGAGTCGCATGCTTCTGGGACAAGGCAGGGTACTGGGCAGGGACCTGCAGCTGGGGAAGGGGAGGTGAGCCCCAACAGGCATGGGTGGCGACCCCGCAGTGGGAGGGTCACTTGGCAGGCAGAGCACGTGCCAGGGTATGTTTGAGCCGGGACGGGCCTGCCAGTGCTGCTGCTGGGGGCTGACTTGCCGTGCGCTCCTACTTGGCAGGTGTCGATGCCGCCCTGCGGATAGCCAGCACGCAAGTTGTGGCTGTGGATGACCCCTCTGTAGCCCCGGCTGCTGTTACAGAGCTTGACATCGATGAGGCGGACCTTGGCCTCCTGCAGGACATCAGCTGATCCTCCAGCTGTGAGCACCGAAAGGAATTAACACCCAACAGCTCGTCGACAGTTCTCCTGCCCTGTCTGGGCAAACCCCTTCCCTAGGGCTTGGCTTTGCGTCCTGAAGGCCTTGTACTGGGGTTTCCCTTTCGTCTTGCTTTGGGGAATGGCTCAGGCCCATCTCTCTAAATGCGTACATCCCCGCAGCCTGACTCTGGCTTTCACCTCTGCTCTCAGGAAGCCCAGCCCGTCTCCCCAGCGTGCCAAGCTTGCACTTAGGACATGAGCGCTTCTGGGGAACTCACATCTGGTGCCTGTGGCACCCCAACCACTGATGTAC